AAACTTCACGTGCAAAATGAGTGCTCACGTGCTGAACCCAGAGCTACTTGAAGAAAGGCGCCTGTCAACCACAAGGGATGCCGTGGCCGCGTGCAAGGCATAAGTCCTTGGTTCAGGCCCTTTAAGGCCTATATTAGAAGCCTGCGACCTCGCTACCTCGAACCTCAAAACGTGGCAGGCGGGAGCGCCGGTGCCAGAGGCTGTGGCTCCGGCATCAGCGGCCACACCGGCCGAGGCCCATTGGGGAAGTATGCAATGGCATCGTCCGGAAAGGTGTCACTGCTTCTTTGAGGGTGCATGTTGGGTGGCAGCTTCCAGGTAAATGAAAGGCTTCAGGGAGGCGTTTCGGACGTGGGGTTTCTTGTCAGATGATACGTGATCTGGTGTCTGTTGGCGTCCACGTTCGTTTTCAGCTCTAGGCCGTGCTGAAACCCAATCAGTTTTGAAGAATGTTGAAGCTCTGCATGCACACGCCGAACTCACACAGCTTTCGAAGAAGGCAGCGCAACACAACCCGGCTGAAGACAGAGGCCCACAACCCGTTGAGCCCAGAACTTCGCGCATCGTTCACCTCCGGCAGAAGAGGTGGTGGCTCCAGCGTCAGAGGCTGCTCCGGCCGAGGCCCTTCCAGGTTCTACTGTTTTGCTTTAAGGATGGGATGGCAAGAGAGAGTTGGGTCCCTCTTGTTTTCGGTTTTGAGCTATTATGCAGAATCAGAAACATTTATACCTTGCTTGTGGATGCACTGGCCCTAACGGCCCTAACGTAACTCTGTCAGCTGCAAGTATTCTGGAGTGGTCGCCAATATTTTGCTTAATGTTCCCTTCCCCGCTTGATCCAATGTTCAGTGTTGGGTGGACGGGGTGTGGGATTTTGGCGGTTTGGGTCATTTGAGTTGTGCTGTTTGGCTGTCTGCACAGATTCACAAGTTGGGGGTTTGTTTTCGCGTGAAGTTTGATATTTGTCGCAGGAGTATCCGGGAATGGTGGATAGACTCGAGCAGCCTCAGTGTTTGGGGCAGATACGCGGCTGGCTGTGTTTTGTATTCGTGCTTTTGAAGCTTCTGGAGCACCGGTGCAAGAGGCTGTCGCTCCGGCATCAGCGGCCACACCGGCCGAGGCTCTTCGGGGAAGTATGCAATGGCATCGTCCGGAAAGGTGTCACTGCTTCTTTGAGGGTGCATGTTGGGTGGCAGCTTCCAGGTAAATGAGAGGCTTCAGGGAGGCGTTTCGGACGTGGGGTTTCTTGTCAGATGATACGTGATCTGTCTGTTGGTGTCCACGTTCGTTTTCAGCTGTAGGCCGTGTTGAAACCCAATCAGTTTTGAAGAATGTTGAAGCTCTGCATGCGCACGCCGAACTCACACAGCTTTCGAAGAAGGCAGCGCAACACAACCCGGCTGAAGACAGAGGCCCACAACCCGTTGAGCCCAGAACTTCGCGCATCAGGAGCCTTCACCTCCGGCAGAAGAGGTGGTGGCTCCAGCGTCAGAGGCTGCTCCGGCCGAGGCCCTTCCAGGTTCTACTGTTTTGCTTTAAGGATGGGATGGCAAGAGAGAGTTGGGTCCCTCTTGTTTTCGGTTTTGAGCTATTATGCAGAATCAGAAAAATTTATACCTTGCTTGTGGATGCACTGGCCCTAACGGCCCTAACGTAACTCTGTCAGCTGCAAGTATTGTGGAGTGGTCGCCAATATTTTGCTTAATGTTCCCTTCCCCGCTTGATCCAATGTTCAGTGTTGGGTGGACGGGGTGTGGGATTTTGGCGGTTTGGGTCATTTGAGTTGTGCTGTTTGGCTGTCTGCACAGATTCACAAGTTGGGGGTTTGTTTTCGCGTGAAGTTTGATATTTGTCGCAGGAGTATCCGGGAATGGTGGATAGACTCGAGCAGCCTCAGTGTTTGGGGCAGATACGCGGCTGGCTGTGTTTTGTATTCGTGCTTTTGAAGCTTCTGGAGCACCGGTGCAAGAGGCTGTCGCTCCGGCATCAGCGGCCACACCGGCCGAGGCTCTTCGGGGAAGTATGCAATGGCATCGTCCGGAAAGGTGTCACTGCTTCTTTGAGGGTGCATGTTGGGTGGCAGCTTCCAGGTAAATGAGAGGCTTCAGGGAGGCGTTTCGGACGTGGGGTTTCTTGTCAGATGATACGTGATCTGGTGTCTGTTGGCGTCCACGTTCGTTTTCAGCTCTAGGCCGTGCTGAAACCCAATCAGTTTTGAAGAATGTTGAAGCTCTGCATGCACACGCCGAACTCACACAGCTTTCGAAGAAGGCAGCGCAACACAACCCGGCTGAAGACAGAGGCCCACAACCCGTTGAGCCCAGAACTTCGCGCATCAGGAGCCTTCACCTCCGGCAGAAGAGGTGGTGGCTCCAGCGTCAGAGGCTGCTCCGGCCGAGGCCCTTCCAGGTTCTACTGTTTTGCTTTAAGGATGGGACGGCAAGAGAGAGTTGGGTCCCTCTTGTTTTCGGTTTTGAGCAATTATACAGAGTCAGAAAAATCTATACCTTGCTTGTGGATGCACTGGCCCTAACTGCCCTAACGTAACTCTGTCAGCTGCAAGTATTCTGGAGTGGTCGCCAATATCTTGCATAATGTTCCCTTCCCCGCTTGATCCAATGCTGGCAGAGGCTGTGGCTCCGGCGTCAGAGGCCGCACCGGCCGAGGCTCTTTGGGGAAGTACGCAATGGCATCGTCCGGAAAGGTGTCACTGCTTCTTTGAGGGTGCATGTTGGGTGGCAGCTTCCAGGTAAATGAGAGGCTTCAGGGAGGCGTTTCGGACGTGGGGTTTCTTGTCAGATGATACGTGATCTGGTGTCTGTTGGCGTCCACGTTCGGTTTCAGCCCTTGGTGTTGAAACCCAATCAGTTTTGAAGAATGTTGAAGCTCTGCATGCACACGCCGAACTCACACAACTTTCGAAGAAGGCAGCGCAACACAACCCGGCTGAAGACAGAGGCCCACAACCCGTTGAGCCCAGAACTTCGCGCATCAGGAGCCTTCACCTCCGGCAGAAGAGGTGGTGGCTCCAGCGTCAGAGGCTGCTCCGGCCGAGGCCCTTCCAGGTTCTACTGTTTTGCTTTAAGGATGGGATGGCAAGAGAGAGTTGGGTCCCTCTTGTTTTCGGTTTTGAGCTATTATACAGAGTCAGAAAAATCTTTACCTTGCTTGTGGATGCCCCGGCCCTAACGGCCCTAACGTAACTCTGTCAGCTGCAAGTATTCTGGAGCGGTCGCCAATATTTTGCATAATGTTCCCTTCCCCGCTTGATCCAATGTTCAGTGTTGGGTGGACGGGTGTGCGAGGTTTCGCGGTTTGGATCATTTGAGTTGTGCTGGCGGGGTGGCGACTTTTTCTGTCTGCACAACTTGACAAGTTGGGGCTGTGTTTTCGCCTGAAGTTTGATTTTTGTCGGAAGAGCATCCGGGAATGATGGGTAGACTCGAGCAGCCTCAATGTTTGGGGCAGATACGCGGCTGGCTGTGTTTTGCTTTCGTGCTTTGTACAAATACACTTCGGGAGACCAGAGAAAGCCTCATGTCCCAAATGAATGCCCATGTGCTGAACCCAGAGCTACACTTGAAGAAAGGCCACCCAACACCGTATAGAGAGACTGAGAAGCCTTGCACCGCGGCTGAAGCCGCTACGTCCCCACGACCTCACTGCCTCGAACCTCAGAACGTGGCAGGCGGGAGCACCGGTGGCCGAGGCTGTGGCTCCGGCATCAGAGGCCGCACCGGCCGAGGCTCTTTGGGGAAGTTACGAAGAATGTTGAAGCTCTGCATGCGCACGCCGAACTCGCCTAGCTTTCGAAGAAGGCAGCGCAAACACAACCCGGCTGAACACAGAGGCCCAGCACCCATTGAGCCCAGAACTTCGCGCATCAGGAGCCTTCACCTCCGGCAGAAGAGGTGGTGGCTCCAGCGTCAGAGGCTGCTCCGGCCGAGGCCCTTCCAGGATGGGATGGCAAGATGGGTCCCTCTTGTTGTCGGTTTTGAGCTATTATTATTATTATGATTATTATTATGATTATTATTATTCTGATGCAGAATCAGAAACATTTATACCTTGCTCCTGGATGCATTGGCCCTAACGGCCCTAACGTAACTCTGTCAGCTGCAAGTATTCCGGAGTGGTCGCCAAGCTGTCGCAGGAGCAGAGTCAATGTTTGGGGCAGATACGCAGCTGGCTGTGTTTTGCTTTCGTGCTTTATACTAATTCACTTCTGGAGACCAGAGAAAGCCTCATGCCCTAACCCCTAAACCCTAAACCCTAAACCCTAAACCAAAGAACCCTAAACCAAAGAACCCTAAATCCATGTCCCAAATGAATGCCCACGTGGAAGGCGGGAGCACCGGTGCCAGAGGCTCCAGCTCCTGCATCAGAGGCCGCACCGGCCGAGGCTCCTCGGAGAAGTATGCGGTGGGATTTAGGGTTTAGGGTTTAGGGTTTAGGGTTTAGGGTTTAGGGTTTAGGGTTTACAGGGTTTACAGGGTTTACAGGGTTTACAGGGTTTACAGGGTTTACAGGGTTTACAGGGTTTATAGGGTTTATAGGGTTTACAGGGTTTAGGGGTCCGGAAAGGTGTCACTGCTTCTTTGGGGGTGCGTTTTGTCAGAGGCTGGTGGCAGCCTCCCGTTAAACAGCTTATATATCCGAATATTTCACCCAGATTTTCTTCGCCTCCGTCCTCTTCTCCTTTCGACCAATCTGGACCTCGACTTACTCTTGCATGATTGTATACATTATCACTACTAACCTACATTTTATACATAGATACCTACATTTTATACACAGAAATACTTTTGTTCGATTCTCAGAATCAATACCAAACATTTTAATGGCTTTTCGGCTCGAGGAGTTCGCCCTCAGCTGACTTGGTCTTTGAGTCTTCAGATCAGAGGTCTACAACCGCATGAACCTAACCTATATGGGCTATTCTACCCTATAACCCCTTAAAAAGGCCCTTTATAGGGTTGGTTAGAGGGATTACAAGCCCTAATGGCCCATGCTGGTAATCAGAGCTTCGAAAATCAGGAGGTGGCGCCTCCGGCAGAAGAAGTAGCGGCTGCAGCGTCAGAGGCTTCTCCGGCCGAGGCCCTTCCAGGTTTTGGTTGTTTGTGGTGGAAGCGCTGGCAAAAGGTCAGCTAGCTAATATGCAGAATGGCCCCCTTCAGCTTGGTCCTACAGGGGTTTCCGACAACAACGTCTGATCTAAGGGTTTGGGTTCATGTATAATTGGTGTTGATGCTCCGGTCCGCCATTTCGTGCCCTTGCGTAGCAAGACCCTACAGGGGATGGCACGGCCGAGAGAGAGAGAGAGAGAGAGAGAGAGAGAGAGACAACAGGAGCACCCATGCGAAGGCAGCCAGTCAACACCGCCACTCTCTCTCTCTCTCTCTCTTCTTCAGAAGAAGAAGAAGAGAGAGAGAGAGAGAGAGTGGCGGTGTTGACTGGCTGCCTTCGCATGGGTGCTCCTGTTGTCGTGTTGGGGGGGGGGGGGGGGGGGGGGGGGCAGACATGCGGGTTGGCTGTTTGGCTTTCACGCCTTACGGCGCCTGAAGCTCATAAGCACCTGGGGCCGAAAGAACCTCATCCTCATATTCAAGAACGAATGCAAACATGCGAGAGGCCTCGAAGGCCCCACAAACCCACTGCCTCGAACCTTTTCACATGTAAGGCGTCGCCGGCGGTGCAAGAGGCAGTGGCTCCGGTGTCAGAGCCCGCACTGTCCGAGGCTCTTCGGGATCTACGTTCTGGAAGGGAGAGGTTCAGTAAGGTGTCTCTGCTGCTTTGAGGATGGCAATGTGTCTTCAGACATGTCTTTGGTGGCCTGATTGCTTTACAAGGCAGGTCGAGAGCAAACCCTCATGCTCAAACTAGCTTGATGAAGGGCCTCAGCAATCTCGTGCTGAACCCACAGTCCAGACACCTGACAACGACCTCTGAGACAACCGAGACATGGCAGGCAGCGCTTCCTGCACACGCAGAGTCGGGTCCAGCGTCAGAGGCTGCACCAGCCGAGGCTCTTTTCAACAGGGGTTGGCAATGTGTCAGGTCCATACTTAGCCTTTGTCTTCGTGAGTTGGGAAGGGGTCAAGGTTTGCATGGTTTGCGGATGTCTGAGATTCAGAAAAGAGCAGCTTCCACGTCCTGGGCTGGGAGTTCTACGTACGTCGCGTGGCACGTTGTAGCATTCTTTTCATCGAGGACAAGTTGCGAGGTGCAAAGGCTGAAAAGGAGCCTCGGCAGGGTTGTGAAGTTTCATGTGGTTTGGGTATATCGGGTTCAGGGGGTCATTCAAGTTGCGCCCACACACACAACACAACAACTTGGTTTTTGGAGACGCCCGCGTTGGTCTGACGGGGTTCATGACTGTTGGGTCGGCTCTTGATGCATGGGGCTTTCTTTGGCGTTCGTGCTTTCAGGTTCTGGGGTTGAGAGTGAAAACCTGATGCCCACACGCTGTGATGCCGAAGAGGCAGTGGCTCCGGCGTCAGAAGCCACGCCGGCCGAGGCCCTTGCGGGCCACCGCGGTTCCAAGAGCGGGTTCAATCTGTTTCCTCATGGTCGCCTCCAGTTCTAAAGGACCTTTCAGTGTGGCTTTGAGGCTGAATGCCTTGGTGTCTTGAGACGTGTTTGTGTGATTTGCATGTGTCGCTAAGCCCCGCAACCCCACGAAGCCGTGAACTTCAACAGTGGCAGGCTCCACCTATTGCAGAAGAGGCAGCTCCAGTGCCAGCGGCTGTGCCAGCCGAGGCTCCTTCGGATTCTCTCTGGTGGAAAGCAATAAACCCTAAACCCTAAATCCCAATAAATGGCAATATTGTGTCACGGGCGTTACTTGTCTCAGTGCTCCTACGCAAGGGACCTCAGGAATCACCATTCCCGCGTTCGTTCTCCAGGAAAAAACACCGCTGGCAGCGAGATTGCTATACCAGGATGGGCTAGTATACCCTATAATCCCTTAAAAGGTCCTTCAGAGGGTTCATTCTGAGGATTTTAAGGCCTAATAGCCCATCCTGGTAGGTCAAGTCTGAGTCTAGCAACGCCGTCAAGGCCGATGCAAGCGGCCTCCGTCATATCTGCCTTTCCGCTCGGACTTCGGTGCTGTCGAAGATTTGAAAAGTTCTTCGGGGGGCGGATGGCGCTAAAGTAACGCCAATGTAGTTGTGGGATGTCCAGGCATCAGAGGGGCCGTATCCCCTCCACTCGGTCTCCTGAGCCCCTACAAGGCCACGACCCTCATGGCGGCTCCATTTGAGATACCGAAGAACTGACCGAAACATCGTTTTCAAACTGACCGAAACATCGTTTCCAGCACGCCGCGGTCACTTTCGTTATGGCTCTATCGCTCAAGATTCGAGTCCCTTGTATTTCTTCCCGCCTTTGGCCTGAAATCACCCCATGGAGGAATTATTCCTTGACCCAGTGCACTCGAGGAGTTTCCGTCGGCACCTGCATCTTAAGCAGAGATGATAGGAGAGACACAGTTCTTGAACCCTCCATCCGACAGCCCGTTGGACAGGAGGTGCCCGAGCCCGGCGATAGCCAGAGGCCGATGCCGAAGAGGGATTTTTAGACAGGTCAGATTCGGAGACCCTTATTTGTCTTTGGGGGAAGGGATCCTTGAAAGAAGGCTTGCACATCAGCACGCCAAAGCAAGCAGTTCTTGTATACGCCACGGTCTCCACAAAATCCCTGGCCGAAGCTTATGTCCTTTGTCAGCCGGGCAGTTCATGCCCTCACTGCCCGACGTGCAGGTTGGCCGAGGGCGGAGGCAGCCCATCCGAGCTGATCCAGGCTGATGAGGCCTCAAAAGCCGAAAGACCACGAGAGAGAGGGACGATGGACGAAGCCCGGGATGCTCACCCCGAAGCCGCGCGGTTAAGTTGGAGGCCCAAAGTCTTCCAAAAGTGTCACCAGGGCAAAGATGGAATGACGACCTCGATTAGAGAAGGACTGCGCCGTCTGGGGCGCGCTCTTGGGCTTCTTGGGGGTACGGAGTCGTCGTCGCCGTGTTGCGCCGTGCTGGTGCTCTTGGTCGCGCTTTGCGCTCGTGTTTCGAGGTTTCTGTTCTGAATCCCAGCCTCTACTCGCCGTTGAGACGCATGTGCTGTTCCATGTGAGAGATCAAAGACGTTGAACGTGCTTCCTGAACTCCTCAACGCGAACTTTCACCATCTCCCAGCCGGCACCCCAAGGCGCCCTAGCTCAACGAAGGAATTGGCGCCTTGATGGGGGTTTGCGAAATTCGGGTACTTCGTGTTTTTAGGGGCCTCTTATTTTCGTACACCCCCAGATCAACCATCCTTTCCAGGTGGAGAAGCCCAGCGAGCTCCCTCCAGCATCGGAGCAGCTCCCGCCATCGGAGACACCCGCGGGGACCCCAAGAGTTCATTTTTGGTAGGGTTTAGGGTTTTCCTAGGGTTTAGGGTTTGGGGTTTTTAGATTTTTGCCCTAAACCCTAAACCCTAAACCCTAAACCCTAAAAAGGCATGGAGAGTTGCTAGACTTGGTTTCGGGGCAACTTTCCCCCGGCAGTCGTTGGGGCCAACTCCCACCCGACCAGGCCTTTCAGGAGCCAGAGGAGGAGGCCCGCGCTCCAGCTCTATAGGGTTGAGGGTCTAGGGTTTAGGGTTTAGGGTTTAGGGTTTAGGGTTTAGGGTAACTCCATCAGGGTAATATTACAAAACTTTTATGGGTTATGTTTGTATGGGTTATACCTAATTAAGAGTAATTACTACTAAACTGTAGGTAAATAGAGTCCCAGGTAAGCGCTGGCAATGGGTTGCTTACAGTTCCTGGGCTGAGGGTTTAGGGTTTAGGGTTTAGGGTTTAGGGGAGGAACCCCCACCGACTTCCTGAAGCGCTGTGGGGCTCAGGGCTTTTGCTGTGTGTCAGGGCGCTTTCAAGCATAGGCTTGAGGACACTTTTGGGCCCCCTTTTTGCTTTCGGCTCTTGCGCCGTTTAGGTATCTGGACTAGAGAGTTTCGGGTCCCGGCGGGGTTTCGTGAGAGTGTGGATGCTGAAGAAGCTTAAGTCGGCTCCCCGCATTCGCAAGGCGCAGCTAAAAGGGTTGAGGCGTTGAGTTGAATTGGATTTCCATGGAAGGTTTCCCTGTAACCCCAATTAGCTACAGTTTTGTGGGGTTCTACTCATTAATTAAGGGGTAATTACTGCTAAACGGTAGGCAATTGGAGTGACAGGTTGGGGCTCATGCAGGCTTTGCACGGCTCGTCTCTCTCTCGGGCAGCAGCGTCCCGACCTGCCGGGGAAAAGATTTCTGTAGAATTGCGGGCACCAACGCCTCAGAACATCCCCAAACCCATAGAGGCCCGAACACTTGCTGCTCGGCCTTGTAGTGCCTTGCGTTCAAGCACGGCCGAAGGCTTCGAAGGTCTTTGGGGGTGACGTGGGTTTTCTTTGCACACCCTCCCTCCTTCCCACCGGCGCACACACACACAATCATCATCATCATCATCATCATCATCATCATCATCATCATCATCCTCAACTTCCTCCTCATCCACCATCCACCATCCACCATCCACCATCCATCATCCATCATCCATCATCCATCATCCATCATCCATCATCCATCATCCATCATCATCCGCCATCATCCACCATCATCCGCCATCCTTTGTCGAGCTTTCCTGCACCTTCACACAGGAGGCGTCGCCCAGCGAGCAAGGCTTCCGGAGGCCGCCGCAAGTGCCGAGACTTTGGGAGGCCCGGGCCCTGCGTTCCGTTGTTTCTTAGGGTTTAGGGTTATAAGGGTTACATTGTTATAAGGGTTTAGGGTTAGGATTATAAGGGTTATAAGGGCTATATTTGTTATTGTAAGGGTTTGGGGTTCAGGGCTTAGGGTTGCGGGGAATGACAAGCCAGAAGCGCTGGAGCCGCGTGGCTCCAGCGTCCCGAAACCACGAAGCGCTCCACCCGCTCGCATGAAAACGACATCAAGCCATACAAGGCCCCTCAATTAAAGCCTGATGTTCATATCATATATATATATATGTATGTGTATATGTCTATGCGTGTATTTTTCACACCATGTCCATTTATAATGGATACAGTATATGAGACCCTGCAGTAGACCCCATAAACCCAACTAGACTAAACCGATCTGGAAGCCCTCAAGCCCCTATATGGCCTCGAGCCCGACATGCCAGAAGAGGGTTTAGGGTTTAGGGTTTAATCGAGTGGCACTTACTCCGGGCGAGGTGGCAAGCCTGTTGCAAAAGGGTTTAGGGTTTAGGGTTAGGATCCCAGCCAGGCCACGCAACTCGCCATGCCCCCGGTAGGCGCGGGCTGCTGTGAACATGGCCAGGAGGGCAGCTGCAAATGGGAGCATAACCCGAAGAAGCTACGTGGACCCTGTGAGTCCAGGTTCTGGGGAGGGGCCAGCATCAGCTAGAAGATTTTTTGTGAGACATCTAGTTCAACTGACGACATGTTCCATATCGAACGTGGCTCGTACTTGTTAGGGACGAAATCGTGGGAATGGAGCGCGGACGTGAATCCTTCCTCAGAATCGCACATTCATACAGCAGAAGCCTTTGGATCGGTAGACCGCCAAGAGCCTCTGGAGACGGATCCCCGTTGTCCTGACTGATCAGTGTAGTTTGCCGCTTGACCCCTGCCTGCGCTTGCGAAGGATGCGATTCCCGATTTTGCGTTTTGCAGATTTGAGCATGTAAGCTGCGACTTGAACCTTGCCACTGACTACTTCCCAAAGGGTCCTAAGTACCTACATGGTAGACAGTAGGGCTTCTATGAGTCTATGAAAGGAATTACTAGTATGGTATGGGTAAGTGTCCCCCAATCTAGGTACTTAGGACCCTTTGGGCTTGCAGGTGGACTGATCAGAAGCTGTTGTTGCACGAAATGACGTTTCTGGTTGTGTGATGCGAATCACCGGGGTTTGGTGGCAGATTCCGTGTTGATGCCGGTTTTTCACGCGCATGTAATGTGGCTTCTTGCACCGACAGAGGAATGTGGGCGCTCATGCGAAACAACCGCGATTTCAGTTCGAAGCGTGTAAACACTGTCGGATGCATTGCCTCACAAGGCTTTCTTAAAAGAGGGCCGGTACCTCAGAGCATCTACATTGCTAGAACGCGTCCCCAACCGGCAGGTTTGCCCCCGAAAGCTCGTGCATCCTCGCCCAAAAGGTTCGTAAAGAGATCTCACAGACTCACAGACCATGGAACCCTAAACCCGTGCCCGTTCAAGCTTAAGCTGCCTCCACATCATGCGTGAGTCTTCAGCATCTCAATGTCAGAACCACCCAAAGGCCCGGCCCGAACCAAACTTGAAACGGGCTGTTTTAGGGTTTAGGGTTCAAGAGAGCTCTGGCACACAAAGGGTTGAGGGATGCTCAGAGCCTGGGTTCAAGAAAGGATTATAGGGTGTAGGGTTATAGGGTTTAGGGTTTACGGTTATAGCCTTTTTTTCTCCCAGCAGCTGCAGGCGCCCGTGCGGCCAGCGGCACGAGCGATGCGGGGTCCATGTTCAGTGGTCGGGGACCTACCTGCCTAGACCCTGATAAGCCCTGTGGCCCTATAAGCCCGAAACCCTAAGAAGCCCTAGGCCTGATGTAAGCCCTTTTTCCATATAATTAAACCCTATAGCTATAAACCCTAGACCCCCCTAAACTCTAAACCCTAGTAAGACCTCGGGCCCTACAAGCCCTAAACCCTACACCTTTTTGGGGTTCGTGTCGAAGTCCACGGGTGGCTTTCTGCTGCAAGGCTCTAGTGTCTAGGGTTTAGGGTTTAGGGTTTCTGGGGTCCCGAGTTGTGGCGAGTTGTGGGTGATTCCTACCCGACCCAGAGGGGATAGGGATCGAATCAAAGCGTATAAGGGTCAACAAAAATCATAATCTTAAGGAAAGGAAGGAAGGAAGAAAGGCCGGAAGGAAGGAAGTAGTCGAGGCTTGTGAACATGCAACAATGCTGCAAGTTACCGTGTTTGCAGCTTAAATGCTGTAACTTACCGCGGAGACTAGGCAGAAATGCCGGCAATTACTGTATCTGCAGCCTGCGAACAAGCAGAAAATGTTATACTGCATGGTATTTGCAGCCTCTGGAACCTTCGAAGAGGCGCGAAGAAGCACACATAGTATAATTTGCAGTGCTCATCGCGTGCTAATAGGCAGAAATGCATTCTATGGCGCAAAGTCAAAAGTGCAGGACGTGTTAGTCTGGGATAATCGTTGGGGACTCGGAGTAAACAGCAATGCATCGTGTTTGGAGCCTGCAAATGGCCAGAAACGCAGAATTTTTACATGGGTTGAGCCTTCATTCACATCATTTATTTGGAGCCTTGCGAACCAAATCCGTTGAGGCGAGGGCTTTGATTCTTGTTGGTCCATCTTTGCAGGGGAGTTGATTTGTTGATCAGTTGATCCTCATTTGATTTCGTTTGTTCTCCCACCCTCCGCCGGCCGGCCTATTCCACCGCGCACGGACAACAAACGGTCCGAAAGAAGTCAGGAATCCTGCAAATCCCAGCTTTGTTTGTGTTGGAGGAGGGCTTGGGGTTCTGCCTGGTGCTCCATATGGGGCTATACTCTGTACTTAGGGGGTTGCAATCCCTTAAAGCCTTAAATATGGGTGCAACCTACGAATGTGTAAGGTTGTTTTAGGGAGGTCGCAGGTGAAGTAGATTTCTAGGGGGGTCTCAGGTTGAGGTTCAAAGAATATGAGATGTCTTTGGCAGGTCCATCGCCTCCCAGGCGTGCTCTGCTGTCTGAGCTTCCTGAGGGAGGGGGGGGGGGTTTGGGTTTTGGGTTATAGGGTTCAGGGTTTAGGGAGGGGCAGTTGCCTGAGGGTTTAGGGTTTAGGGCAGTTGCCTTGGACGGGTTGAGTTGGATGGTTTAACTCGGGTGTTGAGGTTTGCAGACTTACAAACTTCATATTCCGATCCTTGATGTTTTTTTGTGCCTTAGTTTCAGAGTCTGAGATTTTCGTTTAAGCGGCCCGAGCCCTGCTGGGTTCCAGCATGTGCCAGGACCTCTCTATGGAGTCCGGGCACGGGCTATGATGGCTACGAGACAGATGGGAGCGGCTACCCCGACGAGGCAAGGTCATGTTGGGTATGTTTTGGGCACCCGATTTCCCCTGTAAGGCCAACATCCCTAGCCTTGGGGGGGGATTCCATTGAAGAACCCCCCTGGGTGTACGTCCTCCGGAAGCTTGGGATTTCGTCCGATTCGGTGTGGAGATGAGAATGCGCAGGGGCCCCATGAAACCCAGCATGCCTTCTGAAGGCCTCGATGGCCGATGGCTACACCTACACGGAGGTGCTGTGTGTGGCAGGGTCGAGGAAAAGGGTTTTCCGGAGCTGCCGAGTCAAGGAGGTGTCCCGCACCATACACCCATGATTTCAGCAAAATGCAAAGGCAGGAGGTGGCCATCGTATGGCAATGTGAAACCAACTGTGTCCTTCGCGACGAATGCTGACAAACAGGTGAGTCTAAGCCGGGTGAGGGGGGGGGGGGTGGTGAACTAGTTCTGCAGATCTGAGCATGTGTTTTAGATTTGCTTGCTGTTTGGCCCTTAAGCCTATGAACCTTGAGCAAGAGGGTGGGCCCCACCTTGCACGACACAGGGCTGTCGGACTTCAGTCGCAGGTGTAGGGGCTCAGGGGTGTATTTCAGACTGAGTGTCAGAAGGAAACGGCCACATAAACCACGGGAACAAAAGGGACCAAGCAATCACCCAATACCAGGGCCCTCAACCACATGTTCTTGGATGCGGGCCTGTGTGAAAAGCTGACCAAATTCCCTGCGCGCCTGAAACTGCAGCAGCCTTTTGGGAGATACCCCAGGAACAACCCCGGGCTTCCGAGAGTAGCCTCCAGATAGCGCTGAAACATGCAAGACTCTTTGGCCGTCTCGGTTGCGATCCAGGATGCAGGCCAGACCATGCGCATGCCCCAAGCAGAGGTGGGCTGGACCGGGCTGGACTTTGCGGGTTTCCGAAATTAGGGGGTACCTTATTGGGGCCCTTATTCTAAGGGAATCCTAGTATGTTAGGTGTCCCGTGTTTTCGTAAAACCCCATTTCGTTTTAGTTCAAGGCCTTGTCTCTTGAGCCTTTGGGGCACGGTGCAGGATTGAGTTGAGGAATCCGAGCCTTTTTTGTCCCAAACTGTGCAAAAAGTGTGCTTTCCTAAAATGGGGGGTTATATACCTTACGCACCCCAAAACGCTAGAATCCCTGTCGTCTGGAAACCCAGAACCAAGAAGTTGGCATGTAGACTCATAGACAGAGAGTGATAGGGTGGGTCGACTGAACTATGGGTCGGTGCGTGTCGGGAGGGTCGAAGACCGTAAACCTCGCTTCTCCGACTTGAACAGGCCAAACCCTATCGTCCCTCAACTCCCCATCCATCTTGTTGGAAGCCGCGCGCCGAAACAGAAGCCCTGAGCCCAAACCACCAGAAAACCTGAGCCCTAAGAACCCTAATAATAAGAGCCCCAACAGCCTCAAAGCCCTAAGAGCCCTAAAATCCCTAAAACCCTAAGAAACCCCAAGAACCCTAAAACGCCCTAAAACCCTAAGGAAACCCCCAATGAACCCCAAGCACCATGGCCAGGGCCCATTCCCCCACGACCGCTCGACGCAGAAATTCTCGGCCTGGTCGGCTCCGCGGTCAGTTTTGGGCTCGGCGTGGACCTGCTTTGGGGGTTTAGGGGCTTAGGGCTTAGGGTTTTTTGGGTTTAGGGTTTAGGGGTGTACAACTAAATGCGTAAGAATCCCCAAAATCAAGATATTCTTCGTTATATGGGCAATAGAGGGGTGGGGTTCTTAAGCAAATAGTCGTTTAGGGTTCAGGGTTTAGGGTTTAGCATTTATAGGGCGAGGGTTTGTGGTTAGGGGAGTCCTCTGACAAAAAGGTTTGTTTAAGGTTTAGTGTGCTAGTTGGGCTAGACCTAGGGTTATACACAGGTGTGAGTTCTTCGGTGTTTGCGTCACGCGACTCAGGCTTGAGACGGCTTCAGCAGAGGTGTTTGGGGGCAAAACGGACTTGTGGCAATCTGGGGTGTTGCAATAGTGGAGGGAGGTATGACCTTTCTGACTGCACCTGGGCGTCAGCATTTGTGGTCCATTGCTTTGCTGCCTTTCCATTGCTGTTTTTTTTTTTTTTTTCTGGCGTGGTTTGCGGCGTAAGTGCCGGTATGCACCTTAAAGCTGCAAGCCCCAGCTCCTTCGTCTCCAGAAGCGCGCTCCGAATTCCTCACACTTTTGCTCTGCCGGGTGTGCGAGATTGAGCGACGACAGCTCTTTGTTTTTCGGGATTTTCAGAAACATGCCCAGGAGGCCGAGTATTCCGAGTACTCCTCCCGAACAGACTCGCGGCAGTCGCCCGCTGCGGCATCGCAGATGCAGCCGTCACTGGTGGATCCGAA